TATTCTAACAGTGGTTAACAATGACTTTTCACATTCCATGTATTTAGTTTGGCGTGATTCAGTCTAATTGATTAAAATTTGATGTTGCTGAGTTTTAGATTGAGTGTAGGTTTTACACTTTTTGAATCGACAGGTTTGAGGGCTGGAGAACATTTGGCTCAGTTTCTATCCTACTGACACCTGAAAAAGAAAAACGATATTGTTTTTTAGACCTGGCAATCGGGTCGGGTTGGGTAATTTCGGGTTGGGAATTTCGGGTTATGGGTCTTCACGGGTCGGGTCATGATGGGTTTGCTGATTTTGGGTCAAAAATTGACTCAACCCATCGGGTTTCAGGTCGGGTTTCGGGTCATTTCGGGTCATGAGCATTCTCAGAAACAATATCAAACATGCTTCATAAATTTTTAAAGAACACAAATTTTTACATATGTGCGGCAATAATTTGCATAGCACATGTCAATTAACAAATGCTCAACTCCTTCCATGCTAATGAAAAGAAATACAAATTGTCGAAAAACAATGACGAAAGTAATACTATTACAATAAAAAAAAATGATGTTTGATTATCTTGACACTCCAAACTTGTCTTTCAAATCCTAATCATTTTTTTTAACATCTCACCAAAGTATGAGTGATTTATCATTTTGAGAGTGACATATGCAATGAAACGGGTCTAGCGGGACGACCCACAAACCAACCCAACCCGACACAGAAACTACGGGTTAATCGGGTTCGGGTCATTCAGGTTTTGGGTTATAAAAACCTCAACCCATTCTCTATTTTTCGGGTTGGTTTGGGTTGGGTCAACGGGTCGGGTCCTCATTTGCCAGGTCTATCGTTTTGTATCTAGTCTTAATAATATAGATAATCTACAAATGTTATTAGTCCTTATAGCAATATAGTGATAATAATATGAATAATTTGTGAATGTTATTAGTCCTATCACAATATAATTGTAGGAAATTTTTTGATGATATAGGATGTGAGTATTTTGAGAAATTATTTGCGGTTATGTCCATGAATTTATGGGTAGCCACGTGTGCCTGTTTGATTGAATTTTTTCTTTAAAAACGCAGTGAATTTTTCACTTAATTTTTGTACAGATGTACCTGTTTGGTTGAGTTTGGATTTGGAGAAACTCCATCACACGGGATGGGATTAGGTGCTAACCCTTATAGGGGTTAGCACCGTGATAACTAGCAAAAATCACTACGGATTATTATAAAATCAATACAACATCTAAACTAAATCACTACTAATTCAAACTAGTAGTAGTTTTTCCCTTGTTTAGGACGGTGCTAACTATTGTACAATTAGCACCGTAGCCGTTCCCCATCACACCTATATCATTGCCATTCCTAATTGTGGATAGTGTAATATCGATATTCGATAGAATAAGTGTGAGATAACTGTAGTCCAAGATCTTAAGGTAATTTGAAATTTTATTAAGTGCTAATATGGAAAAAAATGATTTGGACAATAGATTCAGTGAATCCATAAATTCAGCAGAAAGTTATGTTCTTGTATTGTTTTTCATTCATAAATTTAATTTTGAAGATATTGAATAAATAGAATCTCAAAAAATTATAGAAATTTTATATATTGATTTCTGAGATTTTTTTCTCGTACTCTATTTCTTCATTGTTTGTTCTTTTACTTATTTACTCTTTTCACATCTGACCCATCTCCGCTAGTAACACGGCCCATCACTATGTGATATGTATGACGTTGAGTCTATATAAACAAGGCCGCCCAAACTTGCAATTTAAGCCCGCCACGATTAGCTTGAGGCTAAAGAGTACCTGATTTTCTAATAAAGCAGCCCATTTGTGTGGAGAAACCGTAAGTTTCAGTTATCGTATTTGACTGCCAACCCAAAATCTAAGGTGTCGTTTTGGAGGAAAAAATCTCAAGGTACACTAGTTGTTAAAAAAAAAAAATTCTCAAAATACGTAAGTTATAAATTTTTTTCCAAAACTACACATGTTTGGTATTCACCGTTTTTGACAAAGGCAGTGAAGACTATCACCGCGTTTGACAAACACGGTGAATATTTCACCGTTTTAAATTAAAATGGTGAAGTATTCACCATTTTTCCCGTCGTTCATAAAGGGACCACAAACTTGCCCCTTGGCATTCACGGTTGGCGCCCTATATAGAGAGGACCGGGTTGGGTATGTTGCGCCATTTCATGCGGATCGAAATCGACAACGATCTGCTTACGGCAATGGCGGAGCGATGGCGTCCCGAAACCCATACGTCCCACCTTCCGGAGGGGGAAATGATGATCACCCTCAAAGACGTGGCGATCCTTACCGGACTGCCGATTTCTGGAGATGCCATCATTGGGCCCACTACCAAACCCGAAGGAGGTTGGGGGCCGCTCATTCTTGCTGAGTTGGGATTTGACATGCCGACCACCACACCAATTCAAGGACGGGGGCATCCACCGTTGAATGCGGGACAAGTGTCGGTCCCGTGTCTGGTAGCTCACATCCAGAATGAGGTGGAAATCAATGACGAGACTCCAGAACAAGGTATTCACCGTTTTGCCCTAAAATAGTGATATATTCACTGTCTCCTACTAAAACGGTGATATCTTCACCGTTTTAATTTAAAACGGCGATTGGTTCACCGTTTTAGAGAAAAACGGTGAATACTTCACTGTTATAATTTAAAATGGTGAAATATTCACCGTGTTTGTCAAACGCGGTGATAGTCTTCACTGCGTTTGTCAACACCGCGTTTGTCAAAAACGGTGAATACCAAACATGTGTAGTTTTGGAAATTTTTTTTATAACTTATGTATTTTGGGAATTTTATTTAAGAACATGTGTACAGTGGGATTTTTTCCGTCGTTTGGATGAGTGACTTCAGTGACTAATTCCGCTCAAACTTCTCGTTTTGTCGGATTTTTTTCCAAATTGCTCATTTAAGAAAGGAAATTAAAACTGAGAAATTTTTGGGTCGAAGGATTTCCAAAATCTACATATTGAATATTGAAATAGCTAACCCCTGGGGCTTAGGATATGGTCAGTAACCAATGGTTACTGATCTATGAGTAACTAAATCTCGACCATTAGATCTAAGTGGACCCAGAAAATTCAGATCTAAGAGTTGTCAATTAAAGACATTTTATTTTTCCTAGTTTTCATAATCGACTCTTATCTTCTTCGTTTTAACTCGGATTTCAATTTTTTTTGCACACATGGAACGAGTTCGTTGTGCTCTACAAAATGAGATCAATTTTCAATATATTTCGAGAAACTTTTTTTTACCAACTACATACCATATGGTAACTTCTTCATTTTTAAGTCGTTTCTGAAAACGTTTGCTCAGAAGGAACGAGTTCATCATGATCTATTGGATCTACAAATTTCTGTGTGAAAAAAATACTGGACCAAAAATTACTATACTTTACCACTATGGTATGTGGGTGGTAACTTGTGGTAAACAATAATGAAAGTCGTAAATGACAGTTAGTATACTCCTACTATCATGTATTCAACCTTCTTACCATATTGGTATGTTCATACCATCATGGTACGCTTTCTTACCATATGGTATTAAATATGAGCATACCATATGGTAATGACTGGTAAAAAAATATTCAATTTTTTTGTACTAAAAATATATCAAAGTGGATATCATTTTAAAGAGCACATTTAATCTGATTCATCTGTGAAATTTAAATTTCGACTTAAAACGAGAGAGAAATCATCCGTTAAAGATTAAAGGGGGGAAGATAAAAGACTTTCCAGGAGAGAGGGGATGCTGATGTCATGCAGATGTGAACAGGTTACTAATGGTTACTCACCATAAGAGTTACTGACCTGATCCGCTCCCAACCCCGGCCATTTTTAAATCCGGCACAAGCTTCTAAATTTGTTCCCAACGTGTCCCTCTCATTTTTTTGCTTATTCTATCTTTACCCTCATATTTAATTTCACTAAACTAACTCTTTTTTTTCTTTCTTCGATCTTCTCCCGCTTCACCCTTCTTCCCCACCCGTCGATCCTATACGATAAGATGCATTTGTTCATATCGCTGATGCTGATTCGATGACAGTTTGCTGGTTTGAACAACGGACATTAGAAGACCCAAACCTAGAAACTGATATCCTCGTTCCTCACAATAAAGGCTTTGATAGCATGAAAACTCATTGAGGAACACAAATAAAAATACTGTATTTTACGTGTTATCCCTGAGATTCACAACTAGTCCTCTAGAAAGGTAGAACTCTTTAGAATCGAATATTATTTAGTTTATATTTTTTCCGTACAACAAGACATACATATATAGACGTGGCTAGTTATTAAAAAAACCTAAGAGTCCTAGTTAGATAACTTTTGTAATTAATTAAGAATATATTTACTAAAAGCTACCTAAACTAAACCAAGTCGTCAGTCTTAACAACCATCCTCCAACCCTACATGGATCAAACAATTGGTTTGTGTGAATATTGTGGTGACTTGATTTGTTATGGATGTGAGAAGGGGTATTTAACCCTGATGTTACACCTGAAGCTTAACCCACGTAGCTATAAACTAGCTAACTATTTAACCACTACATACACGACATAGACCACTAACATAATAATAAAATGAGATTAAATAATATCCTTATCACGTCCCCGCACGATGGAGGAGGGGATGACGCCAATCTTGGAACGAAGGAGCTGAAAGCGCGTGATGGGTAGTGGTTTCGTCAAGGAATCGACGAGCCGTGAGTTGTGGGAATGTATCGAACATGAAGAGCAGCGGACTGAACAAGCTCGCGAACTAAGAGATAATCACGAGCCAAGTGTTTCATACGTGAGTGATGAATAGGATTGGCGGAGAAGTTGACAGCACCGAGGTTGTCACAGTAGAGTACCGGCGGACTAGAGAGTGGGCGATGCAGCTTGGTGAGGAGTTTTTGGATCTATAAGATCTCTGCTGCTGCATGAGCAAGGTCATGGTATTCAGCTTCCGTGCTAGATCGGGCAACTGGGCATTGTTTCATGAGACAAGGTTGCCGCCGTAAGAGATGAGATGGGCCATGTTCGAGGTGCAATCCACGGGGATCACTAGCCCAACCAGAATTTGCAAAGGCAACAATGGTGGGAGTGGTGGCTGGAGAAAGGCTGAGACTGAGGGACGCAGTACCACGAAGATATCGAAGAAGGCGCTTGCAATGTCAGGGCCGGTACACAAAATATATTGAAGAGAACCAATGACCTGCTTGTAGAGAGTTATATCGGCCAGAGGAGAGCCATCTTTGAGGACCAGCTTGGCGGTGGCAGATAACGGAGTGGGAGCAGGATCGGAGTTGGCCATGTCGTAGCGATGAAGAAGATCGAGGACATATTTATGTTGGGATAATAAGTAGTCAGTAGAAGAGGGAAGCACCTCGATCCCCAAAAAGTAACCAACAAAACCAAGACTCTTGAGAGAAAACCGGGCAGCTAAGTGTGCTTGGAAACTAGCCATAGCTGCCGTAGGAGTCTCAACCTATTTGACTGGCATTGACGGCGAAGCAGGCATCCTTCACCCTCTAGCACAACTGGCTGGGGCACCCTCGCCTAAAAATCCTCTTTCGTGTTATTCATATACAGTCTCTTCCTATTACCTCCACATTATCTATTTCATCGTGTGATTCATGTTCTCTTCATAAAAGTCACAAGCTGCCTTTTTCTGTTTCTAGCATCTCTAGTACCCAACCATTTGATTTATTATACATGGATGTTTGGGGGCCTTCACACATTATTTCTCATGATAATTTCTCCTACTATCTTGTCATTGTTGATCATTACACACGCTATACATTGCTCTACTCTCTTTCCCATAAATCTGATGTTCATACTGTTTTCACCACAGCCCTGAACCACAACTCGAGCTTTGGGCCACTCAATACTGCCATCCGCCTTCAGTTTCAAGGCATATGCCCATCTAGAACCCATAACTGGTATGTGCGGAGAGGCCTATCAACCACAATCCAAGCACCCATAGCGTGAAAGGCATCAATCTCCACATCCATCGCGCCATCCCACACGGGATCACCTTAGCATTCTTATAAGATGTAGGAACAACAACAACATCATCAACATTATAAGTAACAAAATCCTCATACCGAACAGGGAGTTGTCCCTATGTGGACCGAAGAGATCGCCGAGGATAAGGAGCCACCAGCGTGGTAGGACGAAAAGATGTCGCCGAACTAGAGGACGGCGAAGCTGATGACGAGGAGCTTGAGGATGCATCTGGGGTAGGCGAGTCGGGGGGAAGTAAGTCATCATCACCATCGAGCTCATCGTGAAAGGAATGAAGCGAAACAGACTCAGACAACAGACACGAGGAAGATGAAGATATAGCAAGGAAATAGGGAAGACGCTAAAAGAAGATGACATCACAATAAATACGAAGACGTTGGGAAGCTAAATCGTAACAGAGATACCCCTTGTGAATATCACTATAACCAAGAAAGACACACCGAATAGTTTTGGACGACAATTTGGTTCGTTCTTTGCGAGGAAGAAGAACAAAGCACGTACAACCAAAGACACGAAGACGAGAGTAATCAGGATGTTTCTGAAATAACATGAAATGAGGACTACACTGACCAAGAACCGGTGTGATAATTAATCAAACGAACAATCATTGCCACTGCCTCTGGCCAAAACCTAGGCAGAACGTGAGATGCAAGGAGCAAGGCCCGAGTTAGCTCCACCACATGTCTATTCTTCCTTCCAACCAAACCATTTTGTTAAGACACTCCTGGGCACGATTTCAACGTCAAAATCCCATGATCACGAAACAAAGCAGCCAAAGGATGGGAGCTAAACTCACCACCAGGGTCAGACCGAACAACATGCACTGTACGGCCAAACTAGGTTTGAATCAGCTTAATAAACTCAGTAGGAATTGACAACAATTCCGACTTAAGTCGTAGAAAATAGACCCAGGTAAAACGAGTGGCATAGTCAACAAATAAAGCAAAATATTTGTAACCATGTCGCGATATATCAGGAGAGGGACCCCAAAGATCAGTGTGCACAATATGAAATGGCTCACATATAACGGTATGGCTGGAGGGAAACGAGCTACGAGTGGTCTTGGCCTCAACCCAACTAGTGCAATCAAAATCATCAAAGAGGCTATCAACCTTTTTATTATCCAATAAATTCTGTTTGACCATAGTAACTAGTCGACTCAAGTTAGGATGACCCAAACGGGAATGCCAAAGATCCACATTCGAAGAGTTTTGACTCAAAAAAGAAGAAGAACATGACAAAGACACCGACTCTCTAGACACCGAACCCTACTGCGCAGGAACAGAAGAAGACTCACATGGTTGACCCGAAAGCTACTCTAAATGAAAACTCCGCCCTTGTTTACTTCCCCGACCGATCTGCCTCCCTGTTGTCAGATCGTGAACAACACAACCAGAAGCATCGAACACAACACAAAAATTGTGCTCAGTAAGTTGACCCACGGAAACCAAATTAGGCATAAGCTTAGGTACATGTAACGTTTGGGGTAAAGAAAGCTTGGAATCCTCAAAGTGACCAATATTTTCAATAGGTAACCGAGAGCCATCAGCAACTTGAATGTACATATTCTTTAAAGGCCGAACATGACAAAGTTGCATTTTATTATTGGTCATGTGGTTAAAACAGGCGGAGTCCAAGAGCCATGGTTTAGAAACATTACCAGAACCCTGCATGGTGGCAAAAGCTGACGTGATGGCTGTGGGAAAAGACGATTGAAGAGAATCATTGATGAGACGCTCCACATTAGCAGACGTCAAGGTGGCAGCAGCAGAAGAGGCCACAGAATGCACACCCGAACTGGCAGCAGGCTGGGTGTAATAGGCCCCCACAGCAGAAGACTGAGACGGAGTGGAGGCACTTGGGAGTGTGACTTCAGACAACGATAATTAGAAATAATATGGCCGCCTTTCTTGCAGAAGACACAAAAGTTACGCACCTTGCAATATTTTTGAACGTGACCCACCTCTTGACAGTGATGACAGGTGAGCTCGGAGACAGGAATGCGACGCTGGAATTGAGGGAGCCCCACTGCAAAGGCTTCATCGGCAACAACGAGAACTTCTGATCGACGGAAACTAGCAGCAGCAAAGGCGTGGTCTCCAACCCCCAGGCCTGGCGTCGAGATGGGACTCAGTACCCATCCATCTTGATGTCCTCCCGATTGATCAAAGTAGCCCGAAAATTCTCAAATTCCGGCCGAAGCCGCATCAGAAATTGAAGCAAGCGCGGATGAGAGCGCTCAACAAGAACATCAGTGGACACCGCTGCGGATTGAAGAGAAGCCGTAAGCTGGTCCTGCTCCGTCCATAACAATTGCGCAGCCTGAAAATTAGAAGTAACATCAAGATCACCTTATTCCAATTGCGCAAGAGCAGTTCGCAACTCAAATTGCCGAGCAACACTAGTCGTCGAATAAGCAGACGCTAGATGCTTCCTCCTCTCTGATGCCATGTCAACAGCCGCAGACCTAGAGCAATATTAGGGTCAACGGAACCGAGCAGCTAAGACTTGATGCTAGCATTATTTTGGACCCATCATTCAACCTCTTGCACTGATGCGGGCGACGCCGTTGGCCGCGACAAAGAACCATCCAGCAGCGGAAGAAGACCTTTCCCTTCAACATACACACGGAACTGAAATTCCCACAACACATAATTCTTGGAAATGAGCCGAATCGAAAGTTGATCCAAATTGAACGCCGAAACCCTCGATACCATGTTGAATTAGCCGAACTTAACTGTACAGAACAAATAAACGATACATCAATTTACATGATTTCCCCAATAACGGGCTAGTCCACGGGAGAGTTTATACTCTCCGAGCTGCAATTATTATTAGGTTTTTTCTCCCTCCTCCTTTGGCAACCCTACACTCATCGGCTAGAGAAGAATGACAAGCTTTACTGGGCTTACAACTACAATTACAAAGTTGGGCTAATAACCTTAGGTTTTTTCTCCCTCCTCGCACATGTATGTTTTTTTTGTTTCATTAATTTCTGTTGATCCATAAGGCTAGAAAGAAATCGAAGAATTTCCTCATTCCTGATGATCAACCTCGACCTCGACTACGATTACCTGGGGTTGTTTCATATATATTTTTTTAATAAATTTAATTACCTACTCCAATAACGACAGTTATTTTGTTTCCATAGACGAATAATCCAAGTCTCCAACCGTGACAGTTGCAAACTTAAGACATACATACTCATTAAAAAATGTTTATCTAAACTATGTTTATTATAATATACTCTAAAATATGAAACTGCTGATTCTATTAGTAACCAATCGGATCCCATATCAGTGGGCGAGGACTGATTACATCTTCTATATGACCAGCTAGTGATGATAACAAGAAACTGTGTGCGCCACGTCATCAATCAGATCGAGCTACAAGCTAGTTAGTGGTATTAATAAAAAAGAAAATTCAAATATTATTATTACCAAAATAGGACCAGAAAATCAAACTTTGAAGGAGAATGAATATTATATAATAAAATAAATAAGCAGTAACACAATAAAGGCGGGACATGCAGAAGAATATTGAACGGAGAAAAAGGTCATGGCGGGTTGGACCCGACCCAACCCAACTCGGCTTCCTCTTCTTCGATCAAAGCCATCAGCTTGACCATCCAGATACAATGGACTCAAGACCTTCAAACCACCACGTGTCAATAACGCCAAGCCACACGATCCTCCACGTGGACCAATCATAGTTACGTCCCTCCACTTATTTTAACGTGTATAAATAAACAAAGCTAAGCACCGCACTTAGCCATGCACCACTCACAAAACCACCACCACCCTTCTTTTACTCACTTAGCTTCCGATGGAGAACCGATCATCGGCGGAGAATGACGGCAGCGGCGGAGACGTGAAGTACCGGGGGGTGCGCCACCGTCCTTGGGGGAAATTCGCTGCGGAGATACGCGACTCGGCGAGGAACGGGCAGAGGATATGGCTGGGGACATTCGACACGGCGGAGGAGGCGGCCAGGGCTTACGATCGGGCCGCCTACGCGATGAGAGGCCACATTGCCGTCCTCAACTTCCCTCACGAGTATCCAATGGGCCGGGGCCCATCCGCTGCCTCGGCCCGCCGCGGTTCATCGTCTTCTTCTTCTTCTTCGGCTCATCAGGTTGTGGAGTTCGAGTACTTGGACGACAGGTTGCTGGAGGAGATGCTGGAGCAAGAAGAGAACAGGAGGAGGAGCCACCGTTTTGATGATTAATGGCTCTCTCTAGCTAGCTAGCTTGATAAATTGAAGCCAGCTAGTAACCTTTCTAAGTTGATGATTGTGACCTATACATATATGTATGTGCAACAAGCAGTATTCATATAGATAAATTTATGAGCTGACGGTGAAGTTTCTACCTGATGCTTCAGGCCTGTGGCCAGAGATAATGGCGGGAATTTGTAAAGTACGTACAATCGCTATCCATCAATTTGGAAACCATTATTAATTTTATACAAATCAGCCGGCTTAATGAATATTGAGTTACAATAAAACTCAGTTCAATCAAAAGGTCGAGTAGGAGATGTTGGATAATAGAGCTTATATCATAAATGAACATGTTCACTCAAATTCAAGCCAGTCACTCATATGAGTTTAAAGTTTGCACAATCACAAAACGTTCACTCAAACTCAAGCCAGTCACTCATATAAGTTTAAAGTTTGCACAATCAGAAAACGTGAGTGTTGGGAATCAAATAAACAAACTCTCCTTCACATAAGACAAAAAATAATAGATCACAGTAACTTAAGTTTTTTAGAGACATAAAAGTTCAATAATAGATTTAATACTTTATCCGGTTACGGATGGATATGGAAACCTTTTAAAGTCTTAGTACTCAATTGTGTAGTGTCAATTTGCGGTTTCAGTTTCATTAATCTTTCAAAGCCTTGTATTATGTATACACAATCTTGTTGAACCCATCAGACCAAGATTTGAAGCCCATGCACACGTTAAGCCATGCAATCCATGAAGATAACTTACATTTATTGTATATCTTTTTCCCTTCAAATATGAACACCAATTTCCCCTAACTATTTCACTACTCTCAAATTTTCAATCCTAATAAAATTTCCCCTCTCCTCCTCAATCTTCTCCCTTATGTAGTCGGATACCCAAGTAGGTTTAGAAGGTATTATCACATTAGCTGATTTGGTCGACACAATCCCGTCGATTAGATTAAGAGACTGACGAGTATCTCTGAATGTTGGTCCTCCAGTCCACAAACAACCTCATTGCTTATAAGGGATGGATCAAATAACGACGACAGAAGCTCTGGTCGCTGCTTCCTGGATTCGAGAACGTCTTCGTCAGATCCAATGATTGAGGGAAGCTCTGGTCGTTTGAGCTATCTCGTTATTTTCTTGTCTTTGATGACCACTAACGGTGAATCGTCATACTTTTCCTAGTTTTGAGGGAGGTACCTATGATTTTTCGACTAGTGTTCAAATAACGAGCGGACATGTAGTTGTGCGCATCGAATAATTGACAAGTTAAACTGCAAATCAAGTCAAATTCCTCACATAATTTTTAATTATGCACTTTGGTGTAGTTCAGGACTTCGGGTTACGAAACCCAAAATGATGCAGGGCCAGTAAGAACAATGGGAAATGAGAGAGATATCTAATAAATATAGTGGTCCAATACCAGTTTGAACCAAAAGAACGAAAAAAACAAAAAGAACATAGAAAAAAAGGAAATGGATGTTATGGGAGGAGAATGAAATGAAAAAATAGGACAAAGATATTATATAGTAGCTCTTCGTCGTGAGTTAGTAGTGTTGATATCGTCGTGTTTCCTCATCTTCGAACGAACTCTCTAGCAGCTCCTCCAACACACTGTCATCCAAGTACTCGAACTCAAACACCTCCTTATTCTCTTCCCCTCCGCCGCCTTCGCCAGCCCTCGTCGCCGCCGTGTACGAAGACGAGCTGCTCCCTCCCACAAAACCATACACGCCGGCGCCACCAGCTCCACCCCACGCGTAAGGAGGTTGCTGGTGACACGTGGCGGCGCTCATGGCCTGCCAGTAATACTCATTGGGGAAGTTGAGGATGGCGAGGTGTCCCCTCATGTTGAACGCGGCTCGGTCGTAGGCCCGAGCCGCCTCCACCGCCGTGTCGTACGTTCCCAGCCACAGCCGTGCCCCTTTCCTGGCCGGGTCACGTATCTCCGCCGCGTACTTCCCCCAGGGACGCCGCCGGATACCGCGGAACTTCAGCTCCTGATGACGGTGCCCGACGACGTCGTTCTTCATTGTTGCTTTCTTTTTTTGGTTTCCTTCGCTTTATCGGTGATGAGGGATTTATATATAGTTAGTTTCTTGAGTGGAGTTGTGTAGTTTACATTCAAGGTTGGTGGCAGTGCATATTTATAGTGGCTGGCTGCGGCTGGAGTGGAGATAATGAGTGTGTAATTATTATTATTATTTTTTTTTTTTGCTATTATTTTATGTGGTCGGCTGGACTGACGTATGAAGTTGACTGAATTCCATTACTTCATCGACCTTCCACTGGAAACTGCATATTTTGAAGGAAGAAAGAGATAAAGCTGGAGGCTGGTCTCAGTCAGGTCTGGGATGCAGGCTGTACGTACAGTTTGCTACTTTCTTCGAAGGTTCTCAAAATTGGTAGCTATGGCTATGGTTTTAATTAATTGTTCGAGCTTTCCCAAGATGGAATGGAATTCAAAACAACTTCCAGTATCTTTTTTCTTTTTTTTGTTCCACGGATAAGGCCTTCATGGTATCACTCGACTGTGACGAGATATTGCTTTATGACAGCATCACATATTATTGCAAATGCTTCTTGGTATCAATATGCAATTGTATAGAGTAGTGGCGGACTCATAATTTTTTTAAAGGTGTGTCAGTAGAGAAAATTAAAATAAAATAATTAGTTCATAGTATACATATTTTTATTGTTTTTTTCGAAGCTAGAAACAAATTTGTATATTATGAGAAGTATGTGAAATATATACATTGCTTATTTTGCAACTCGGATATTTTTTAGTGCGTACAACCCAATAATTATTGATTAATTGGTCACGAATATGATATCTGCTATAACTTTTTTTTACCAAAAAAGGTCATTTCACTATTTGTAATTACAATAAATATATCTACTACAAAATTTGGAGTTGTGTGATAGATCATAATTTAAAATTTTATAGACGAAACATGAATTTTTCACCTGAATCCAGGGCGAAGGTGTGCCGTTTGACATACCTCCCCTTAACCTAGGTCCGCCCCTGACAAAGGGGTATGCACCAATTAGGGATGGCAAAAATATCCGTAACCATGGATATTCGCCCGAATCCGACTTAATCGGGTAGGGTAAAATCCGAACCCGAAAGACTTTTAGTGGGTACGGGTAAAACCTGAACCCGAATATTGCGGGTAATAGGTGGCCATGATTTTCTCCCTATCCAACCCGAACCCGCCCGATTATACACATGCTTATGTATTTTTTCTAGAAATAATCAATATTTTTCTCTAAAATATTTTAAATCTAGCATATAAATATAATATTTTTATGAAATTGTGTTGTTTTAATTAATTTTCTTCATTCTAGTGAATCATTTTTGTACTTTTCGTCTTACATAACGTGAGAATACGTGTGAATATTAACATATTGGTTAGAGTTATAAAGAAAAACTATTACCCATGGATAACCGTGGATACCCGAAACCCGAACGGGCATGGGTCATTTGAATTTTCTACCCGTTTCTTATGTGGGTATGGATATGGGTAAAACCCAAACTATTTTGGGTAGAGTACCGAATATGCACTATCCGTCCCTGACCCGACCCATTGCCATCTCTAGCACCAATGCGATGGACACTTGAAAGTTGCAAGTTTGTATTTGATGAAATTTAAAATGCAAGCCATATATCTCAGTTTATTTATTCATTTTCATTTATAATAAAATAATTTGGGCCTACCTTATATGAAGCTGCAAGTGAATTGTTGATGTAGGCGCTCATGCATATGCCCAATCATAGAGATTTAATGTTGAAGTAATGAAGTTTATGATAATTTAAGTTATCGAGATGAACTAGCGACTAAATAAAATGTATAAAATGATTAGATAAAAATACAACAAGAGTGAGACAAAAATTTTACTTTTGATCTTCAATCTCTGACTAACATATGTCGAAATTATCGAATGAAAAAAGAATGTTGTCAGTCGATCATATTAATCATCCAACTATTGAGGTTTCTTGTGACCAGAACAATGGCATAATTCAAAAAAAAAAAAAAAAACTGTATATTTGAGACTCTTTATAAGTGTATTGAATATATTAAAAGGGAAAAGAAAGTGTGTCGATGACAAGATTAGTGAAACATGCAAGTAAACAGTGTCCCCTAAATAGGGCACATAAAAGAAGATAATAAGAAGACTGTACAAATATTAATGGCGTCGTCACTTAACAAAAACCAAGGGTTAGTTTAGATGTTCCGATTGTTAAATATATATATTCATTTATACATATATAATATAATATGTGTATTGAGGAATTTTGATGTATTATAAAATACAGCGAGTTGGTAAGTAGTGATTGTGTATATTATATTAGCGAGAAGTTGAGATAAAACAATCTCAATTTAACTATCTTACTAATTTCAGCAAAAAGTTGAGATAAAACAATCACTCGTTTTGAGTGATAATTTCTGTCACATTATAGAACAATCCATGCATTGTGTTTGCTAAAAAATTATAATGAAAAAATCGAAACATTCTAAAAACACGAGTATAGTGACAATCTCACAAAAACAATCGCAGCTTTCAAACGACCCCAAACAAAAAAAACAAAAAACAAAAAACAAAAACAAAAGTAGTGAAGGTGCTCCTCCATGTATTGATTGTGCTATCGTTTTCTCATGTTCTTCTTCTTCTTGTGTATGGCCAATGAGCCATGAAAACTCTGTTTTTGTTGTCTTAACATGCACTCTCATTCTCTCAATCACTTCACCATCGTCAGCTCTGCTTATTAGGAAACCCTCCACTTTCTTCTCTTACCATATCATTCCATGTATGAGCGGTGTTTAAAATGACCATATTATAATACGTCTTACTTAAGAATAGTGGCGGAATCAGAAATCTAAACGAGGGGGCTAAAAATTACGTTCAAGAGATTTGAACTGGTGAAAAAGGACTAAAGTCTTATCAACTACTCTATCTTTCAAATTTGTTACAAAATTTATACATAAATTTACTCAATTTAAAGAGTTGAGCGGGACTATAATCGTTTCTAGCTATAACGTGGCTCCGCCACTGCTTAAGAGAAGAAAAAGATGTTGCTGGCTTGCTGCAACCACTTGTTTTGCGTCTTATTCACTGTACAGTAAGCAAAATCCGGGATAAGCAACAAAAACACAAGTAAAGTAGACCATAGTTGTAGGAACCCATTAGTTCATCGTCCTCAGTTATTAGTCCTATAATATCTATGTTTTGTCTCATCTTCAGACGAACCGTCTAGTAGCTCCTCCAACACGCTGTCGTCCAGGTACTCGAACTCAAACACCTCCTTATTCTCTTCCCCTCCTCCGCCGCCGTTGCCCATCGCCGCCGCAGTGGACGCTGACGAGCCAGCTCCATCCCACGTGGAAGGAGGCGGTTGGTGAGAGTACGTGGTGGTCCCCATGGCCTGCCAGTAATACTCGTTGGGGAAGTTGAGGATGGCGAGGTGTCCCCTCATGTGGAACGCGGCCCGGTCGTAGGCACGAGCCGCCTCCACCGCCGTGTCGTACGTCCCCAGCCACAGCCTCGCACCTTGCCTCGCCGGGTCCCGTATCTCCGCCGCGTACTTCCCCCACGGCCGCCGCCGGACGCCGCGGAACTTCAGCTCCTGCTGGTGGTCGTTCGTCGTCGCTTTCTTGGTTTCCTTCCCTTTGTCCATGCTGATCGAGGGCTGTGGTTAGTTTCTCGAGTGTAATTGTGATTTACGTTCAAAGTTGGTGGCACTGCATATTTATAGTCGCTGGAGTTCGAGTATTATTATTCGCTTTTATTTTATGGGGAAACTTGTGTGCCCGGCCCTACCCTAACGAGCAACAACACATGATTTAGTTATGTTTGCGGTTATTCACATAAATTAGTGCTTATTTACGGCATGTTGATTTGTATTCACGTAATAGTAGTGATGTTCATGCAAACAATAATAGTTATTCACGTTGCCTAGTGTTTATTCATGCTTATTATTCATTTTTTTTAAACTTAATTTTTAAATTTTGAAATATATCAAAATAAATGTCATTGTATACAAATAAGCACCTAACTTACCTACATGAATAAACACCAAATATCCGTGAATGTACGCAAAAATATCAGACTCTTTGGGTGCCACCAAATCTTTTTCTAATTTTATGAGGTCAGAACTGACGTACTGAAAAGTTGACCGGATTCTACTGCTTCGATGACCTTCCGCTTGAAAGTACATATTTGAACGAAGAAATAGATAAGCTATCTGAAGGCTGGTCTCGATCGGTCAGGTCTCAGATGCTTGCTGTTTAGTGCTGCTTGCTGCCTTCAACGAAGGTTCGTAAATTGGTAGCTAGGAGAGTATGGTTTAGTTGTTCGAGCTTCCCGGCCAGGATGGAATGGAATTCAAAATGCAGAGATGATCAACGTCTACTATTCAATATTCTTGCGCTGATTCGGTTCTAGTATTTTTTGTTGGATGAGATCTTCATGGTCTCCATCGACTGTAAGTGAGACGATGCTTCCTGAAGGCAAGTTAGCTCTCTCTCTCTCTCTCTCTTTTTTTTAAAAGTAATTTAGCTCATGCATAACCTCTTCTCAGTGGCGGATCCAGGGGTGGCCTCCCCGGCCACGGTCCAGCCCTCCTCTGGATTCGGAACTAGTATAGCCTTTATGCGTTTATCGATTTTAGTCATTTGATCTAGTGTTATTTTATAATACAATTGTGTGTAATTAGGAAAATAGTAAGATGAATATATTCAAATCATAACTCTAAATTTAGTCTAGAAATTCTAGTTCGAACGAGTTTCGTCTAAAGAAAAACAAACAATGAAACCTAAAATTCTAAAAGTCTAAAACGTAAAAGGCTAAAATAAATATGAGATTTGTTTACTTAAAAAATCACTAGAGCAGGTGGTGAAAATAAGGATGGATACACAATACAAATTGATTAGTCGATTGATTTGTCTAGTGTTGACAGCTACTATGGAGAGAACCTTTTCAACAATAGAACAGGTGAAAAATGATTTGCGCAACAAAATGAGCAATGAATTTCTCGCCGATTGGTTAACTATTTTATTTGAAAAAGAGTAGTATGCGATTAGTATGGATGTAAACTCCTTTATTGATGAATTCACTATATATATTAAAAGATAGACGTGTACAATTAATATTATAAAAAAAACTATAATTTTTTACGGTATCTAGTTTTCTAATGAAATGCCGCCCAGTGCTCTACTATGTCCTGAATCCGCCGATGTCTCTTCTACTATATTCTAAAGTATAAATGTTTTGATATCACATTTGAATATATCATGTGTCTCTTTAGATACCCATATCGAGGTTTCATTAGGTGATAAATTGGGCCATGATCATATCAAGAATTATTTTAATTTTCGACATTGTGAAATTCGTATTCCGGTCAGTACTGGTTGTTTTGCTTCATTTAAATTCTTATTTTCATAGACTTAGGGGTGATTAGCTTTATGGATTTGGATAATAAATTTGGTATACAAATTCATTCCACCATGAATTTAAGGGAAATCTATTGTTTGTTTGCTTTTAATTTAGCGACCAAATCCGTGGGGTCCATGAATTTTAAGGGTCCAAATTCATGGACCACACGGATTTGTAAATCCCACATATTAATGTGGTATTTGGAACAAATCATAAATCCATGATGAGATTTTATTAATATATCCTAATGAGCTTTTAATATTACAATGTTGCTTTCACATTTACCTATTGTAAATTATAATTAATCAATTAATTAAGAATAAATTAATCTAGATATTCAATTAATGTGCAAACATGAGTTAGATTTTTATGTCCTTTCTTGTGTTTCAGTTTTCTTTGACCTTTTCATGGAACATGATATATTTTTTTTTCCAGTAATTGGCAAATTTTTTATAGCTCCGCTTGATCAAATTGATCAAGGCCTTGAAAATAAAACTAATCCATACTTACATGGTAACTACTATCACTACTCACCTCCAGCACAATCCACTGGTAGGTAATATTAGGCGAAAATTATCATTACCTAGACTATACAAATATACTTCCTCTTGAATATCTTGAACAAGCATCTGACTAGTCCGTTCTTTCGAACCAAAAATCCTGACATTTCGCTCCTTCCAAATCTTTCCCACTACCCAACACCAAACAGCTCTATAGATCAACCCTTTCTCCCCGTGCTGCTTTGTAATGGAACAGATCTGCTCCAAGCATCCCTGCCATGTCCCTGGCCAGCTTGGAATTAATGGGAACATGATATTCTTTGTTCTCCCGGTTCTAATATATGTTGCTATATATGTTACTTTTGAAAAGGACAAAGAATTGATAACTGATATATGTCATGTGAAAACTTGTACGAAATTTCCGTGTTTATTATTATTGTCCTTGTGGCAACATTATGTTTATTAGTAAGTATTGTCCTCGTTTTGTGTACATATCATAAACATGGCAAACAAATAGAAAATGATAGTAAGGTAATTTTGGAATTTAAGTTATAAATTACAAACCCTCTTAAAACCATATAAAATATCTCAACAAACAAATTCAGATATGTTTTTCTGTGTAATGGGTTATTAATTACCATGTAAATTACAATACACATCTCTTAATTCACAAACTTTACATTCCAGTCCAGTTCTGTCAGTTTGGTTCAGCGGCTCGGTTTACACTTTTCTGACCCAACCCCAACGAGAAAACCTTTTTCTCCTTCGCTCAAACCACCAACCCTTTCTCTGCCTCTGTCTAGCTCGTGCACTTTCTCTCTTGTTTCTATCTTCCATCTCTCTCAACCTCTCACCCTCTCCCGCGGCCGCTTTCTCCATGCCGACAATCCATTTCCCCCATTCACTACTACCAATCGATTCCACTTCGATAAAAGCACAAGCGTATGGTTATTCAAGTTTATTGTCCTTAGATTCGTGATGCAATCCGCGCTCTCATACAACTGACATAGAATTTTCACAAGTTTCTTAAAGCAAGTCACAAATCCCACAAAGCGGACCACAAGTTTATGAAAATGCACCATAATTCACATAAAGCACACCACAAGGTTCTTAAATCACACCACAAGGCTTTTGTATTGTTGTTATATTATTTAAGTGTCACAAGAAGCTTTTTGTTCCAAGTGAAGCTTTAGCCTTCTTATCAGATATTTAGGGTTTCTTTCGCTCGAAGGAAGAAGAAGACGAATACATAATTTTAATCGAACTGTGGGTGGATAGGTAGGATAAGTCATGTTTTGAAAATTAGCGCGACTAATTGGGCTTAAAGTAGTGCTCTTATCCCGGGTCCAATTTTGAATTCTCTCATCGGCTTCATGGGCTTTTTGAACTCCAAACCATTTCGGCTAGGGTTGAAAGCTAAGTAAATATTTTAGTGTTGATTAGTTTTATGGAAATTCTAAAGGCAATAGTTTCCCTTTTTTACCCATCCTCACCAAACACCACAAGTTTGTGAAAGAACACTACAATATTCTTAAAGCTCACCACATCGCTTCGAACGAGTGCAACAACCTTACCACACCACAAATTTATCTATAGCGGACCTTAAGTTTCATAACGTACATCTATCCATTGTGAGTTCCTAAAGGTAATTATTAGTAGGGTTGCATTACCACACCACAAGCCTCCTGAAGCATACCAAAAATCTATCCATTGTGAGTTCCTAAAGGTAATTATTAGTAGGGTTGCATTACCAGTGCAGCGTCGAAGTGTAGGAGAGAAGTAATATTTAAGGCCGAAATTGATTTGGTGGTAAGTGTTTACTGTTGGACGAAATTATTAATTGGTAGGAGTCTTTTTAATATTTGTCAGTATTCTTTCATGATTACCTCAACCGCTTCAGTTTTCATATATATATTTTTTAATAGGCTTAAGGGGTTTTGCGAATAGGTGTGTAAGATGTATTTGTTATTAAAACAATTCTGAATAATTTCAGATAGGTTCGACAATGGACAGACTTTCCGTAAATCTCACTGAAAATCCAAAAAGACATACCACATGTTTATTAACGTACACAACAATTCATATAAACCAGACACATGTTCATAAAAGCACACCGCAAGGTTCTTAACCCACATGAAGCTTATTGTTGAAGGTCAATCTATGACTTGCTGATCAGTGATATTTAGGGTTTGTTTCGGCAGAAGGAAGAAGACGACGAAGACATAATTTCATTCAAACTGTGCATTTTCATCATAAATCGTATTTGTGAATTAACCAAACAATAGGCCTTAAAGCATGGTTCTGAAAACTGTACCAGACATCATACCGGATTCCTTTCTGGTATGATATTTTATGGTACAACCGTGGTTCAACCGTTTCGTACCGGTAAATACCATTTTTATAATAACAAAAAAAATTTATAAAATATTGTGTCGTCAAAATCAAGATACCGTTTCGAAATAATACCGGACATATAATACTAAATTATTATAGGACGGTCACGCGTCCCTTTATTTCTTTCCCTCTTACTCCATATGTCTTTTGCTTTCACTTTTTCCTCTAAATCTCAAATCTTCTGCTCTCTCCCCTACTCTATTCCTCTGTCCAATTTCTCAACAGATTACAATGTCGGCTGGAGGGGAAATCTCGGCAGGGTCGACTTTTTATCAGCGGTGGCCGAAGGGCGACCTCTGGGAAGGCGAGCTTCCTTCTCTGATCTCTTCTGATCCGCAGTTCGCACGAGTCACAGTTGATGAGAGGCGAGCCCTTTCTCCTCATTGACGAAC